TAAACTAGTCAACACTGTAATTATTTTGTCCAACTACAGTACAAAGGCTTATGTGCTACAAGAACATTGCTAGTCATAAAGAAAGAAATACATTTCAATTTTGCAGTATATATTTTATTATAAATTTAACAACATATCAAACTCAAAATCTGTTTTGTAATATAATACAAGTGTCTTTATCATTTTCTTATATATTTATCAAATATAAAAAAATAAATATACAATAGAATTTTAAATGATTATATAATGGGAATACAAGTACAGTAATTATAACTTATGTTTAAATTATTATGTTATGTACAGTATACACAATGTAAAGTTACTGATTTTAAGTACTTATTATGAATGTAAATTATACATTCCATGCCAACTCAACAAATTTTTAGAAAATCTTGGCGGGGTACCGTCTCAGATTTTCTAGAAACACGGATATAATATGCAACAAACCAATTCCAAGTGATTTAGAACTACTACTTCTTAGGACCCAAAATTTGCTGTCATCTTCCCACAGCCCAAGAACACCACCATTTACAACCAATATAATACAGAAGAAACCTACTTTGAGACACCACTATTCAGGGGACACTTTCGTGAAAAGGGGAATTATACGATTTACTACTACATCTGTCTCTTATACACATCTAGATGTGTATAAGAGACAGCATATAGGCACACTGATCTAAAGATTGTGTTTTTTGCATCTCATCGATGCCCAAACGATAAATTTTTTTTTATCCCCGACAAATCTCTACTAACTTCCCCGCCTTTCCTTTTTACTAATTTTTACTGCATTGTTTATGTTTTGTTGTTTATAACTATATATTATCAACTTTTAAAATTATTATTAATTATAACATATTTCATAAAAATTTTAAACTGACAATCACAAATAAAACTAGATAGACAGGTTCCAATTCCTAAAAAATATGATGCAATTGACATGTTTAAGTAGAAGCTGTTACAGTATTTTGACCCTACGGATTATGAACCTGGTGGATGCCAAGCAAAATTCTTTCATCAAAAGATCAAAATTGCGGATTTTATGTGAAAGTATCCATTTTTTGGAAAGACTATCATTCTGTATTTCAGTTAATTTTGGTCATAAACAGTTTGTTTTGGTACCAAACTGTTTGGAAGGCCCATGTTTCTATTTACTATAATTAGGTCCCAATTTATCCAAATATACGATTCTTTTAATCTAGGACACCAGATTGTATGGAATATGCATGTTTTTATTTGCTCAAATAGAACATTTGCCACAAAAGCCTGGCTGTTACATCTAGAACATTCAGTATAATCACACGATAATGCAAGAGATCCACTTTCTACGTAAATAAAAGTAATATGTAAGTTGTAATATAGCGCTGTACACAACAAAGCCTGAGAGCACATTTCCACATTATTACCCGTCAGTGCCTTGTTTAGTGCTTGCTGATAAACTAGTCAACACTGTAATTATTTTGTCCAACTACAATACAAAGGCTTATGTGCTGCAAGAACATTGCTAGTCATAAAGAAAGAAATACATTTCAATTTTTGCAGTATATATTTTATTATAAATGTAAAAAACATCAAACTCAAAATTCTGTTTTGTAATATAAAAGAAGTGTCTTCATCATATTCTTATATATTTATAAAATATTTTAAAAATTACTAAGAGTACGTTTTGTATAAAAATAACACTAAAAAGAAAAGATCAACGTTTCGACTCCTGTCTCTTATACACATCTAGATGTGTATAAGAGACAGCAATTATACTATTGAAGAGTCTGATGGCATCTGAGCTTGAGATGGCATCTGATCCTGACATAAATAATAATAATAATAACAATAATAATTAAAAAAAAAAAAAAAAAAAAATAATAATAATAGGTTATATAGCACAAAATGCTAAAGCCTCAATGTGCTTAACAATAAAAATAAAATTGCCAGGAGAAAAAAATTTAAGAAAAGTACACGTTAAAAATGTGAGTTTTTGAAGCTTAAAATCAACAATGGAAGTTGCCTGTCAGATTGTAATAGGCAAAGCATTCGAAAGGAAGACTGAAGCCAAAGAAAAAGAACGATTGCCATAATGCTTTGTTAACAGACGAATAGAATGAGCAAGTAGAGACTCTGAAATAGTCCTCGTAGAAATTTTTTAATTTAATTAATCCTTAAAAGGATTATTAATTTTGAAACAAAACATTGGCGAAGAATTATGAAGAGATTTGAAAATACATAACAAAATCTTGAGATTCCCTGTGTTACAGGAAGCCAGTGAAGGTGCCTTAACACAGGCGTGGTGGGCTTAAAGAGACCAAGCGGGCAGCTGCATTCTGAACTCGCTGAAGTTTTGAAATATCCTTAGCTGGCAAACCATAAAGGAATGAGTTACTACAGTCTGAGCCTTAGATAATCTTCTAAGGACAATAATAATAATAATAATAATAATAATAATAATAATAATTCTGGATTTATATAGCGCCTCATGTTGACACAACCTTGAGGCGCTTAACAACAACAGAGAAGAAAAACCAAAACAAATGCACCAAAAACACTATCATCAAATGTTTGGTTTTAGTTTAGTTTAATTAAGTTCAAATAATTGGTTTGATGTTATTACAATGCTTTGGTAATTGGAACCATTTCAAGGCCTGTTACTTTCCTATTCATCCCAAATCCTTTCATTTTTCTTTCCCTTTTGCTTCTTGTCTTTCTTCCTTTTCCTTTCAAATGTTCCTGATCTTTACTTTTCTTGTCCTTTCTTATGTTTCCTTATCTTATCTTTCACATTGCTTTCTTTGGCTGTTCTCACACGGCAGCTAACTGTTAGCAGGATCCGCATCCTGCTAACCGTTAGCTGCCGCGCGTCCATGCGAGAAAATCCCGATCCGGATACCAACAATATGATGATCGAATCACTGGCCAATAAGAAACTGGAAATTGTAAACGCGTATGTGTGATTGGTTGATGATAGAAACGCCCTCAACTTGCTAACCGATAGCGCTCGCTAAACGTTAGCGTATCTGGATACCGCTAACAGTTAGCGCTAATCAATCGGGCGTTCTCACGCAGGTGCTAAAGGTTAGCGTTAACGGTTAGCTCCTGATCCGGATACTAGGGCTCTCGTGAGAACCAGGATTTAGATTCCTTATCTTTCCTTTCATTTTCTTTCTTACAATTCGTATCTGTCTTTCATATTTCATTCTTATATTTCTTATCATTTCTTTTCTTTTCCTTTCTAATGTTTTCATGTCTATCTTTTCTTTTCTCATGTTTCCTTATCTTTCCTTTTCCATTCTTAGTTTATCTTTCCTTTCTTTTTACTTTGTTATATTTTTTATATTTCTTTCCATTTACCTTCTTATCATTCCAAATTCATGATGACCTTAGGGGGCCGGGGCTAGTGTGAGAAAATAATGCAATGTACTGTATGTAAAAATACAATGGTCTTGTAGTTACAGTCTGTTGATTAGTGATGTATAGAATGACACCAGTTCTTCTCAAGGCTCTTATAGCTTTGTCTCTGTCCACCTTCACAAGTGCCACAATGCAGTCAGTATCTAGAGAATTCAGCCTGGCACTTGTACTCAGTTGTGACTCCTTCTATTTCCGTTCTCTATGGTTAAATGTTTGCTATAATTGTGATGGTCTCATCACAAATTGGTTAGAGATGTATAGAATAGTGTCTTCAACATCACCAGTTCTTCTTACGGCTCTTTTAGCTTTGATTCTGTCAGCCTTCTTTGTCTTGTGGTTTTCCGTCTATTGGTTAAAGATGTATAGAATAGAGTCTACAAATCACCAGTTCTTATGGCTCTTATAGCCATGTCTCTCTCTCCACATTCTTGATGTTGTAGTTTTTAGTCTTGGTTAGAGATGTACAGAATAGCATCTACAACATCACCAGTTCTTCTCAAGGCTCTTATAGCTTTGTTCCTATCCACCTTCGCTTGTGCCACAATGCAGTCGATATCCATTGAATTTAGTCCATCCTCGCTCTCACTTTGCTCACCAATAGCTTGAAAAAGTGCTTTTTCTTTTAAAAACTCCTTAATGTTACTTTCATTCATTATCCGACCTTTGTGAATCAGCTTCATTTCTCGTACTTTAATTGCATCAGAAATATTGCTAAGAACTTCGCTCCCGGTCCATTGGTTGCTTACAGACACTTTGATTTTGTCCTTATTACACTTAACAGTTATTGTGATCTGTTCATCACATATTTCATCTTTAGACTGTTTTTCCTCCACATGTTGTGCATCTTTATCATGACTTTTCTCATATGTTGAGAGATCATTTTTTACATCCACCATATCTTTTGAAGTTAATGTCTCTGAATCTACTTTGCAGATGATTTTGTGAGCTGGCCAATCTTTAATTTGACATGGACGGGAACTGCAAAAACAAAAGCAAGATATACTGTATTTTCTCCGTTGAACTAACTTGAAAATAATTTAAATAAATTAATATATTAATATAAATTTTTTTTTTTTGCTAATTAAAAGGTGTGTAAATACAGTTTTTATATTTTAGGGTCATAGGAAGTCAGTTCAGGAGGAAGGATTGGTTTAATGACCTTTACAGCTCCTCCTATTAAAAGACACTGTTTTGGCTGCAAATCAAATGACAATAATATCTTGAAACTTACTGCACTCATTTCATTTTTTTGATAGCCTACACATGTTCAACTACAACTTTAAAAGACAGGCTTCCATTTTAACTCTTTTTCCATTTCCCCATTTTACTCAAGGGCGGATCTAGCCAGTCAGAAAGTGGGGGCGATTCTCTCTTAAAGCTTAAGTACCTTCATTAATTTGAGTTGATATTTGACTAATATTTACTATTTAGCATGGTCAATCTATTTTTAATAAGAGTACGTTTTGTATAAATATTTAATATAAAAATAACGCTAAAAAGAAAAGATCAACGTTTCGACTCCTTCATGGTCAATCTTTTTTTTTTTAACAAAAAATAGAGGGGCGTACTGTACGTACCCCTTTAAATCCACCACTGTTACTAATTTATATTGTACTGTTGTTTTATTGTCATTTTATCTACCAGGCAAAACCAATTTCTGTATATTTTATAGTCTTGAAATATTAAGCTATCAAAAGCCTTACCAATAATATGCATTACGGCACTGTGCACACCTCAGCATTTTGGCCTTTGTTATCCGGCAAGTCCTACACCCTGCGGTACTATCTGCAGACATTATTACACTGTTAAGAGTATGAGGAAGAAGGACTCAACACTTGCAGGCCTACGGAAGAAATATATTATCGTTTTGACATTGTACTTTCAGGCTAGCATGAGAACAGTGACAGCTGTGTCAGACTCGGACAAGGGGTCCCATTCTCAGTTTATTTATAAAAAATAAATGCAAGTTATAAGACTGAGAGTTATTTAACATCCATTTTTACTTCTTGCTTGATTCTTGTCATTGGATTACATTTTTATTGTATGTGTTGCTGGGGCTCTGGAGGATAAAAATTCTTTTGCCCTGATCAGGTTACTGGGGTAAAGAAGAATAATTAAGAGTAAGTTTTCTTAGACAATGAGTTATAATGGAAAGAGAGTTATTTAACATTCAAATAAATAAAGAGTTTTCTTAAAATAATTATTTTATTGTGATTAAAAGCTGTAAATGAAATGACACTACAGACTAGCCATCCCATTCATTCATTAACATTGGGTGGTCTATCATTTCATTTTTTTTTATTCAACCATTGATCACAGTCAAGATTTAGTTTGATCTATTTGGGCATCAAGTCTCGGCCTAGTTTCTAGTACTGTGCTACCAGGAATCGGAACAGTGCTGGCGTGCAAAGCATCGAATTGCTCAGCAGTGGCGTTTCTAAAAGTCTTGAAATGGGAGTGCTGATGGGGGTCGCAAAGGTGAAGTGGGAGGGGGGGTGGGGGGGGGGGCTTGATGATCAATTGATTGAGGAGGGCTAACTCGCAAAATAAGGTGATTTTCAACTACTTGAGCACCACCCCCTAGATACGCCACTGTGGCTCAGACAACTGGACCAAAAGCCGAACTAGGCCATACCTAGCTAGTCCTAGTACCACCTGTAGACGGCCTACCCAAGGTAGTTCTAGGACCTAGGCCTGGCTGGACAGCAAGCTAGGCATACCATAGATAGGCCTCTCTCTGGCTTGGCGTCGCCTACTGTAGTAGAACAGATATTTTACAGTAGCAGTAGACAAAAAAAGCCAACTTATGGCCCTAGGCCTACAAGCAATCATTCTTAATATGCGGAGGGATTCATAGATGACATTATCTTCCCAGTCAATACTATTCTAATAGTAATAATAACTAATCCGCTTACTACTAGGCCTAGGCCTAGGCCTATACTGTACCTTCTCAACAACTTCCGGCATTTTTGTTCTGAATTTGAATTTCAAAATGGCGCGGAAATTTAATATGGGGATTTCCCCTTACGTCATCACATTGCGGTTTTCATGACACACGCGGCAGACAGTAGTCAAGACGCGAGACGAGTCCAGCCTTTGACATTTGCTAAAAAAAATATGTTAAAAAATAGATATTAATTATCATACACACATTTGAAATGAACAAGAGGGGGTAAATTACTCCCCACTTTTGAAATAACAAGAGCATTTGAGGTAAATTACCCCCCCCCACCCACCACCACCCCCGGAATAATTATCATCATCATCATCATCATCATCATCATCATCATCATCATCATCATCATCATCATCATCATCATATTACCATTTCGGCCACTCGACTGTAGGCTACCATGAGTTATTACTAGATTATTATTTACGTGTGTTGTAGCCTAGTAAAAAAACATTATTTAAATATTTGTTTCTTTTAGTTCTTCACGAAAGTCTTCACGCATTCATATTATAAGAAGAAAATGAAGAAAATGTGGAAGTAAGATAGCAAGCAAACGACTTGAAATTATATTCCTAATACAGTAATAAATATATTTTGTCAAACTTTAGTGCATGCACTAATCGTTAGTCTTAACATATTAATATTTTTTCATAAAACGATAAATCATTTTTGATATGTAATTAATTACAAGCCTTCACGCATTCAAATTTTGCCATATGTTGGAATAAATGATTCATTACGTATTTTTTTTAAATTTTAGAATCATAAGTGATAAGTCATAAGTCACATTTATTGGCCCAATCAAAACATTTACAATACCGTACTCGCGCGAATAAGTGCCTACTCTTTTTATTTTTTCGACCTTAAGCACATTCTCATCTGAGTTTTCAAGAAAAATACAATGATTCTGCCATCCTGCTAATCTCAATCGGCCGATGGCCAACAAGCTAACCACTACCCACCACTAATTGCATCTGCTATTTTGCTGTTATGTAAATATTCACGCATTCTTGTTATGAGCCATGTTCTCTGGACGATTATCTTTCCTAACCACCATTCGTAATGTCCTTATAATCTTTTTTTCATTCAAAAAGTGCCTCTTGAATTTTTAATTATTAAAATAATTTTCCATAAGAACCCCTAGATTTCCATCTATTTCCATAAGCGCCCCCTCAATTTCCACTCTGTTTTCATAAGCGCCCCGTTTAAATAAGCGCCCCGTTTGAGTAAGCGCCCCTCAGAAAGTGCAAAAAATATATATTCGCGCGATACGGTATGCCTCATATCGGAAATAAAGAAAACACAAAAGTGGACATGAAGATTGCCAAGAGACTACATAAAGCACAAAAGGCCTGTCATTGTAGCACCTTTTTACATATTGAATAACGAATAATGTACCGTAATTAACAATTTTTTTATAATTTTATAATATGTTTTCCGTGCTCCTGCGTTATATTATTGTGTGTTTTGTCTCATGGTTCCAAAGGTTTACCTCTCATGGGTTGCACCATTACAGCATTAATCATCACTCTAGATTTGCAACATGTTTATGTAACTGTCTTAAGATAAATCATTATCAATATTATTATTGTTGTGAATAATGCCTGCCAGTTTTTTGTTTTTGTTTTTTGTTTTGTTTTGTTTTTTTTAATTTGTTATGAGTGGTTAGGTGGTCTTTGGGTGTGCAAGTTATTTGGGAGACTGCCCTCTATGATTGTATAAGCGCAGTGACGTGAAAAGCACAGTGAGTTTCGTTCCTCCCTCTGCTTTAAGTTAATACAGTTTCAATATTGTTTTAATTCATTAATTAAATTATAATTAGACATAATTAATGACATATGATAGACCTATATATGTACCTAAAAGTTTAAAAAATTATATCAATTGACTTTGTTTAGCAGTATTTTGAAAAATACTCGAGTAAATATGAGGTGACAGACAGTTAATGGATTCCTCATAACAAACTCAAGCATGCACATCACACCACACGTACACACACGTCGTCGCTGTCATTCTCACGCAGTTGACCAGTCACACGACGATTTAGTGGCGGGTTGTGTGATCCTGATATTGTGGCTGCGTTCCCTGTTGGCCTAAGCCTGGCTAGGGCTCAACTTTGGAATTTATCGATCATTGGATTTTGTTGTGGTGGCTGTGGTCCGGTTTTTGTTTAATTAGAATCTAGGGCCTATACAGTCTAAAACGATGCAACCCCCACCAAGAAAGGTATTTGCATGATATTCAATGACAAAATATTTTCTAGGCTATCCTAGGTAGGGCCTAGACTTAGCTAGGCTAGAGGGAGGGCCTAGCCTACCTAGTCCTGGCCTAGGGCCTAGGCCCAGACAGCCTAGGCCTAGTTTAATTATTCTCGTTATTCTTAATGGTTATGAATGATGACCCCTAAAACGGGGCCAACTTTTAAAGTAGGTTGTACCTAAGTAGGCCAGGATGGGGTTCCGCTTGGAGTCGTAGCTAGGCTAGGCCTTAAGCCTAGGTAGTACTAGTAGTTAGGGTCCTACTAAATAGCGCCCGGTAGCTCCCGGTAGCGCCCGGTCATGTTTCTTAATTAATTAAGTTCATGCAACATGTTAATAATATATAAATATCACATTTTATGCCAAAAATTTATGTAAAAAAAATTAAATATAGGCCTAGGCTACAGTTTTACTTTTCGCTTAATGAATAATATTAATAATTGAAGGAACATCCTTTAGATAAAGGAACATCCTTTGTATAGGCAATTCCTTTACGTTTTTAATAAATCAAATTGATATTGTTTATAATAATTTATTTTACACGACATGCCCGTCCGTAACTAGGGGATGGGTGTTTGGTAGGACCCCCTTTTGACCACCAGTTTAACGTAGTCGTATTATAACTTTCATTAAAGAAACACTTCTTTTTAATCAGTTTATTACCGTAGTTGTATTTTATCATAACTTTTTTCATTCAAGAAATACTTTTGAGTTCAAATTGGCCTATAGGAAACCCCCCCATCCCGCGTGTCGTGCCACTTGAATAGAGCCTATTCATCAGCTTGCAGCAAGGTGGTAACAAAAGGTGTTTACTGGATTAACAATGATCAGTACAGTCGAATAAGTTGTTATGTATCATTTATATGTATTCTGGGTCGAACCTCTCCTCCGTGAGAGTGTTCCTCCGTCTTGTATTGTTCTGAGATCCTCGCGTTAGCGAGCTTACCCCTTTAGCTTATCCGCTGTCGAATATAAAAATGTATTAAAAGTGTTGTATTATTGTGGAATGTAGAGCATAAGAATCATGAGATTACCTCCCCTACAGGCCAAGGCATTCAGTGGTACTTCGCACTAAGTTCTCCAGTTTTTTACTATCAAATAATGTTTAAAACGCAACATTACAAAATATTAGAAAAAAAAACCTCATTATGTATTAATTTATTAATATTTTATTCCAAGCTGTTGATCTTGTGGCTTTTACAATTCTGCCTCAGCATTTGGGTTCCTGAAAGGGAAAAAATATGAAAAGAATATATTGATCTGAAAATATCAAAATATTTACTTTATTAATAAAGATTGTTACCTATAGCGACGACATAAAGCACAGAGGGAAATTTCTCTACAAACCAGAGTAGGCCCTCTGTATAAAATGAAAAGAGTATTTTGAACTGAAAATTTTACTAATATTATTTATAGCGATGCCATAAAGCACAGAGGGAAAATTCTTCACAAATCAGAGTAGTGCCTTAACTGTTATTAGGCAAATAACTTTTTTTTGCTGCTTGATTTTACTTATGGCACTGATTGGTTGACTTGGCTGTACCCTACCTTAATCAAAAATAACTCTTGCTATCCTAATGCATTACATTTCGGCGTAAGCATAGCCACTGTGTCTAGAAGAACAACAGCACCATATGCTATCTCAAAATGAAAAAAGCACCACCTACGGTACCATATTCCTAGCTACTGCCCGACCTAGTAGAAGTAAACTAGGGAGAAAGAAGCCGGCATAGAAAGGAGCTGGCTAGCCTACAGTATACCAAACAGTGCCGAGGCTAGTGCAACAGGTCCCTAACAACTCATTTTCTTAGTTTAGTGATGAATACGGGACAACCTTTTAATTGTCTATGGTATATAGGGTGAAGGGTGAGTGTAATGTTATGACAAGTGAAGCTTAAAATAATGAACTTTGTGAAAAGCAAGTTTGACCCTTCATAATACTATTAGTATTATACAGTAAATCCTTGCCAAGGTTACAGGCTTTATTTGTATCCTGTGTTTAACATTTTCAAAATGGAGAGCTGTGTGACTTATTGTAGGCTATTTTTTTTATAATAGTTTTTTATAGTATAATATAGTTTAGTGTGTGTGTGGTGGGGGGGGGGGGTGGTGTGCGTGTGTGTGTGTACACAGTAGAGTACAGGTTACTTGTATTTCTTACTTAACAAAACGGAAAGGTTAACAGTAGTGGTGCCTATGAGAGTGACACCTACTTTGTCCAATAGCAACTCAGTTAATTGTACAATTTAAGTAATTTAGTATCACAAATAATAATTTATAAAATCAACTTCTTAAATTCTCTCAGTTTTATTAAGCCAGATCTTTAATTCTAGTTATTAAGCTTATTAAGACAGATAGATGCTTAATAACTAGACTAGAACATGCTTCACGATCTGCCAGTGTTATAAATGATCATACAAAATTGTGAGGCATTCCAATATGTTTTTAGGTTTACAAGGTATACTTGAAAATTATAATGTAGCCTGTAATGTAAAGTAATAAATTAGGTTTAATATTTTCTAATACTAACATTGACAGTTTGCAAAATTGGTCTATACTATTGTTTAAAGAAGCGTTTGCTATACATAGGCTACAGTACACCCATTACTTAACTTTTGCTGAAAGCTTATAATGAGCTTTCTTGGTTTTTGTAGGTACCTTTGATCAGTAGGGTAAAGAATGCTTTGATCTTCAGTTTATTCATAGCTATGTCACATACTAGTAATGTTTTGATTGGTCAAACACTTTTGGTACTTGTGCATATAAGCTTGCAAATATGGATAATTTTTCATTCCTGATGATGACATAAGTCGAAATATTGAATCCTGACACGATGGCGTGCATTTCATTACTTAGAGTGTGTATTATACTATCTTAATATATTACAGTACTGTATAAAATGGTCCTTTGGTGGAATAGTTATCCCTTTGCAATTACCTTGTGCTATATTTGTGTGCAGTTCACTCATATTTATCTATTTTTGTCTTTTGTTCCTAACCTTTGTATGATAATTGTTTGTACAGAATAACTATAAGCTTCGGGAAAACAAATTTTTACTTGTGAATTTATCCCAGTGACAATAAAAGAATCTTGTATCTTGAAGTTTTAAAGTTTTCTTTCTTTGGATAATTCAGCACTGTATACTGAGTGCAGTACTGCAACAGCTTGTTTTGTGCAGTGATTAATCATGAATAATATCCAGATATAATCAAGTTACTATTAATATCATTGATAATTTTTTTTTTCTTTTGTAGGTAAAAATAACCCAAGTGCTTCGCAATGTTCAAAATGAGCAGTTATCAAAGATCCATGCAAAACACCAAGCAGACTTAGATATCTTGGATGATGTCAGGTAATGAAATAATTTTTTTTTTTAAATCTGTAAACAGGCCTGATGTTGCTGTCAAATGATGAAATGTGGTCGATTTTAACATAGCTATCATACTCTGGAATTATATTTTGTTAATTCAATTAAGAATTGAATTAAACTGATGATATTTAAACTGCTATATTTTTAATTTAAAATGTTCACTTATGTCTTTTTTGACATCTTTCTTGATTGTGTGTTTTGTCTCTTTTGTGTTTCCCATTAAAATCAAATTTCAATTTTACCTTGACAATAAAAATACTTTGATCTTTGTTAACTTTGAGTCACAGAAAGAGAGAGAAGCTCCAGATTAGCAACCAAAAAAAAAATAAATAAAAAAAATAAATAAAT